AACAACCAAATTCGACAGCTCTGATCTAGGCAGGTCTTAAAACGAAAAATATAATCGCTGTAAATTTTGAGCAATACGATAAGTGTGGTGAAGCCACATTGCCGAGACTCCCCATAGGTATGAGTCAGATTCTAAGCCCCTCAGTTGGATGCATCATGCAAACAAGGTCAAGAAAATTCTGAGAGTAATGGAAACGAGTAGGCGACTTCGATTGGAAAGCAACATCAATAATAGTTGAAATCACAAAAAGACCTTTCATAATGGTTGTATTATTCTGCACATCATTAAGGTGCGACACTAAGCTTGAATCAAATAACTTTACACCTGGACAGAAAGTGAAGCGGAGAAGATTGAAAAAGGCAAGATAATATAGAATAGGAAAGTTGACTCTAAATTAGATTGAAAAAACTGAAAGTCGGGCAAGTGTCTGACTCGCGCCAAATGGGAATAAGAAGTAGCTATGCTAACATCCAATGCACAGGAACATGCACTCATGCACAGGCATATACAGGCGCACACGTAGACATGTAAATAGGAATAAGCAATCAGATGGGCTCAAACACAACACAGATAGATGAAAGAAGAAAAGAAGAAGTGGAAAGGAAGACTAGGTCAAAAGTTTGTAGCATGAAAGGCAGTAGAGGGGAGGCGGAAGACCGCTGATAACCGCTGGGAAAAATCTAAGCACTGCGACTCACTAAAGGCTTGGGACAAAAAACTAGATGTGCCCACTAGCCTGAGTTGATGGAGATGCGGCAGACTGGAGCTGCGTCTGAGGAACTAAAGCAACAGCAGAAGGGGCAGATGAGGCCACAGACAGATTCGATTGCGTCTGCTGTGATTGCTGAGGTTGTGTGTGTGGAATTTGAACAGTTTGCAGAGGAAGTTGCTGAACACCAGACGGTACTGACGGTTGACCAACTCCCAAGGCTGTGGAAGCGGCGACGGCAGCAGCCTGAGATGCCTGCTGAAGTTGCAATTGTGTAGGTAGGTGGCTGGGAGCATAGTAGGCCGCAGGGCCCGTTTGCGGGGGCAATTGCCCTGCAACTTGGGCTGCAACAGCGGCAGCGTAAGTGTGAGCAAAGGGGTGTGTGTAAATTGAGAATGAATTGGCTGACTGTGCCGGATGGGGCTGCATAGTTTGGACCTGTTGGTTTTGAGATTGATGTATCAAATGAGTATGAGGGATATGATGATGGGGATGATGCTGGCCAGGAATTTGTTGCTGCTGTTGTTGTGATTGGTGGTGCTGCAGAAAAACTTGTTGTGTTTGG